AAATAGCACTTTTAATCCTCAAAGTATTTTGAAAAAATTAGCTAATTAATAAACAAGACAGAACGCCAGAGTCAACACGGATGTTTTGAGCAGAGCAGCCACAATGCTTCCCACGGGTGGGAATCTTTGTCGAGTGTGCTGATCCTTTTCTGATGGTTTGGTCTGATAATTACTTCATAGGTTCCATAGTCACTTAGCAGCAAGCCTTGATAGGTTTCTCTGATGATGGCCGAGCAAGGCACTGATTTACATATAGAAGGATATCATTAGGATTTTTTTTTTGAACAGTAGTATTTGGTTTTACCCTGGGTCCCTGGACTATCTATCTAGTCTCAGGTTCTTTGTCATATAAGCAGTGTCAGGTATAGGTTGCATCTCATGGGGTGGGCCTTAAGTAAAATAGGTTATTGGTTGGTTACTCTCACAAGCTTTGCACCACCATTGTGTTAGCATACCTTGTAGGCAAGATATCATGGTAATCAAAGGGTTTGTAGTTGGATAGGTGTTTATGTTTCTCCTTTGGTAGCATGCAGAGTAGTTTCAATACCAAAGACACTCGAACATAAGGGTGAAGGCTCTGTGTAAGTACCAGCTTGACTTTTTCATGTTCAATGAGTTGTGTAGGTATTGTCTTTAGCAACCTATTGTTTGGTGATTTCTTATGGGACCTGTTTGGTCAACAACTTAGTTTGATGCTACACAATTCTGGCACTGAAAGCTTCATTTGATGACAATAGATGACCAGTTGGCCACTATTTGGAGATTTAATTTTGAATGCCCTCATACATGTGTAGATTTTAGGAAACTTCTACTATACTGGGTTTTTATACTATCTCTCAAGTGGCCCTTAATTTTAGCTGTCTCTTCCCATATTACCTCCCTCACCCCCCTCTCCCCACACCCTCCCCACTTAATCTTCCTGTCAAGCCCCCAATCTATAACCATTCTATTTTGCTTTCCTAGGGAGATGTATCTGTGCCTCTAGTTCTATACCTACTCTATACCTAACCTCTGTGGCTCTACTGATTGTATCTTGGTTATCATTGACTTAACAGCTAATATCCACTAATAAGTGAATGCATACCACATTTCTCTTTCTGGGTCTGGATTAATTCAGGATGGCTTTTTTTCTAGTTCCATCCATTTACCTGAGAATTTCATTTTTTTTAAACAGCTGAATAATACTCCATTGTGTAAATGTATCACATTTTCTTTATTAATTCTTCTGTTGAAAGACATCTAGGTTGTTTCCAATTTCTGACTATTATGAATAGAGCAGCAATGAACATGACTGAGCAAGTGTCTCTGTGGTAGGATGAAGCATCCTTTGGGTATATGTTTAAGAGTGGTATAGCTAGATCTTGAGGCAGATCGATCCCCATCTTCCCGAGGAACTGCCACACCAATTTCCATAGTGGCCATATGAGTTTGCACTCCCACCAGCAATAGATGAGTGTTTTTCTTACTCCACACCCTCACCAGCATGAGCTGTCATTTGTTTTTTATTGCTCTTAGGCATTCTGATGGGTGTAAGATGAAATATCAAAGAAGTTTTGATTCTGCAAATCATCTTATCAGCTACACAAAAACCAGTACAGTTTTTATATTGAGGCTATTTGATGTTGCCCCTCCCTCTTCCCCCTCTCCCATCCTCTTTCATTTGCTATTGCAGCCAAACAAAATTCTGAAGTTGAGCCCTACTGCCTTGAGCTATTGGATCATCCCCTCATCACTCAGCTGGAAGTCTATGTCTTCTTTCTGTACTGGGAACCTCCTGAAGGTTTAGGCTGGGCCAGGAAAGGTGTGACCTGGTGAGTATCATGGGCTGTGCTGTTGCTACTTAGTCTCTGCCTCCCTTGGCTCTCATCCACCCATCTGGTGGCTCAGATGCCTGGGACCATTTTGTCTTCCAGGTTCAGAGGGTGAGCTATTGTTTCCATGACAACCACCCACATGTGGCTATCTGAGGTCATGTGTGCACAAAGGAAGGAACAAGCTGGCCATGATGACATACATGTTTTCTGCATCTGTAACATTGCAGGTGTGCTCCATAACATCTGAAAGTCTGTTTCCTGGGCTCCTGCTGATGCAGCTTCTGCAGCTTGCTGACCTCTTATCTATTTATAACAACTTCTTATGCTTTCCTTCCCAGAAAACTGACGCTTGGCCCTGGAAATACTTAAAAAAATCTTCTTAAGGAATCAGAAAAAGAAAAAATAGGTTGATGCTTCTGTGTCATAGTAAGTGAGGGATGGGATAGCATTCTGTGTTTTCAGTCACATCCCGGAACTTTCACAGTAACTACCTGTGACCAGGCTGGGATGAGACAGGACTCCACCATTGTGGAAGGAGGACTCAACTTCCCCTTTTCCTTCTACCACACTGCTGGCTTCCCACCTCTTTCTTTCCCATCCCTGTCCCACTGATTGTTGGTAAAGATGAGCTAGTCGCATGGTTTTAGCAGTATCCATGGTCATAGCCATGGTGGCTGTGATTAGCTCAGGACGTTGCTCTTTGATGTATGATGTATGCTGCTCCTGTCTCCAGAGGCTAGTCTCCCCCTGCCCTCCCCCATTTTCATTCCCTTCCCCCAATAAAAAAAACCCTCCACATGAGCTGGAGTTACTTAAAGGAATATGAGTGTGTGTGTGTGTGTGTGTGGTCATTTACTGAAGCATTGGTGCCTCTAAGGCAGCCATATCACAAAAAAGCCACTTTCACATGGATGACTAGTCACAAAAGCTGTATCCAGAGCAGCTCTACAGAAGTCTTTCCTCTCTAGCAATTGTCTCCTGCTCTTAAACATCTTGTAAGTTTCATGAGCCTCCTGAGCTTTGTAAATTTCCTAGGTGTTTTTTCAGTATTATGAACTGCCCTTCTCTCTCCAGGAGGAAGTAACCACACAACCCCTGTGATGGCTATTGGTTGTCGATTTGACCATACCTGGAATTAAGTCAACTCCAACTCCTGTGAGGGAGTTTTCTTAAAAATCATTTGGAACTAAACATTGGTGGCACATGCCTTTAATCCCAGCACTCGGAAGGCAGAGGCAGGCGGATCTCTGTGAGTTCGAGGTCAGCCTAGTCTACAGAGCGAGTTCCAGGACAATCCCCAAAGCAATACAGAGAAACCGTGTCTCAAAAAACAAAACAAAACAAAAAAATCATTTGGAATGGGAAGACCCTAACTCTGGATCTTTATTGTTGGGAAGATCCACCTTCTGGCAATACCTTATATAAAGGTCATGGGAGAAGGAAGCACTTGCTCTCCATCTGTTTACCCTCCCTCTCACTGGCAAGTCCATTCCTTCGCTGGCACTGGAGGCTGCTTCTTTGAGATTCTGGTGTCTACTGAAGACCAGCTGAGACATCCAGCCTCATGGACTGCACAACTACTGGATTCTTGGATCTACCAGCGATAGACAGCCATTGTTGGACTAGCTGGACCACAGCCTTCTGGCTACTTTAATAAATCTGGCCTCCTCTATTCATTCTATTCTATCAGTTGTGTTCCTCTAGCGAACACTGACTAATACAGCCATTGTATCCAGCCTGTCCTACTCAGCACACCTCACCTGCTCTCCGGCCCTAGAAGGGCAGCCTCTCCCCTTTGCCCCTGAGTATTGAGATTATGGCACAATGGGGTCCACCAGCACGCTAATGACTCTTGATTCAAATCCGGGTGTGTCTAGACCCGTGTAGTCCTCTCAGCCCATTTGGGAGCCCAGGTGGGGCCCCAACAGCTAGTCCCAAACTCCTTTCCTGGGGACTCTCCCATAGGAGACATCATCTATCTTCTGGGGGGGAGCATTGGCTTTGGGATTCCTCTTGGAGCACCCCTGGCTACAGCCCAGTTTTGTTTCAGGTAGAGCTTAGCGGCCAAACCCAGCTTGCCAGGCTCAGCTCCTCCCAGTGAGCACCCAGCTCTTGGAAAGATCCCTTTCTCCTTGCAGCTTTTACACCAAGGTTATCTCCTCAAGTATGTACGAGTAAATGAGGTTGTTTGGCTTATGGATACAAATAGACACTGCTTTTTTGACTTGCAAAATGAATTTCCTCACGACTGGCTCAAACTTAAGTATTCAAATGCTCACTGAACCAGTTGTCTATTTATTTCTGTTTACGCCTGCAGACCCATTAGCAACTTTTTCTTGTTTTCTCTTAGAATATTAAACGGTTCGAACATATTCTAAAAATTAGTTGATTAGCTTGTTAGGGCACATTTTAACTGCTAGCTCCGCTGAGCCAAAGGAGAAAATGAAGGTAATTTTGTTGGCAAGGGATGTACGGCACGGAGCTGACTGTTGAAAGATGCGCCGTGTCAACGTAATGAGGGAGTGTAATATCTTAGTTTGCATCAATATGGAAATAACCGTGCGTTCTGACAGACCTGATGCTGAAGGCACAACCAGCCTCCTCATTATGCATGCCGGCTCTGATTATGAAAAATAGTGTGTTTTCTTTTAAAGAGGAATCCACATTATCAATCAAACCACACCAATTATTTCAGAAAGGGATCATGGTGAAACAGACAGGGGGCTTTTCAATGAGAACAGCACCCGAGAGGCAGGCGGATCTTAAGGGGTGTGATATTTTTATTTCGTGACAGTTGTTAGTATTAATTAGTAGCGCTAACGAAGTATTTTGTGCGGTGGCACCCAGACAACCTCCTTTCCCTGCTATCATCTGGATCTTTATTATTTGTTTTAATGAGCCCTGTCTTCAGCGGTACCAATGCTCTTCTAACGATAAGTCTTACCCTGCTCGACTCTGAAAGAGTTCTCATGTGAGCTGCCACATCAGGGAGATGTAGGAAGGCCGGGAGGTGAACAGAGAGACAATAGGGAAAGTATGGCCCGTGACATGCAGAAACCAAACAGAGGCCTGAAAACAAGGTTACCTACCGCACCAGCCAGCAGTTCCTCCCCCTCCCCGTGTGTGTGTGTGTGTGTGTGTGTGTGTGTGTGTGTGTGTGATGGCTCTCGTGACAACTCAACTTACTTGTTTCTATCCAAACCTTGCACACAGGTGGGTAGAAAAGTCCAGGAACTTCACTGGTGGTTTAAGGAATAGCCTTGGGCTCCATCACTTCAGATTGCTCCTTGTTCCTCATGTTTGTTCCCCTCTATCTGGTCTGTGAACTTCATGAGGAGGTGACCCATTGGAGGCAGCCTGGAAGTGACTCTTAGGAGCTGGTATGTAACTGATGGAGATTCAGGGGCTGCCTGATGGACATGTGACAAAACAAAGGCTCGGTCACCCACTCCTTAAAGCCACACCCTTGGAGATGCCTTACTTGCTTTTCTGTGACTGTGATAAAATACCTGACAGAAGCAATTTAAAGGGGAAAGGGCTTATTCTCAAAGGGAAAAGGCTTATTCTTAAAGGGGAAAGGACTTGTTTTTAAAGGGGAAAGGTCTTATTCTTAAAGGGGAAAGGGCTTGTTTTTAAAGGGGAAAGGGCTTATTCTTATATTTTTGGTTGTGAGCCTAGTCTTTAACGGCTGAGCCATCTCTCCAGCCCGAAAGGGCTTATTCTTAAAGGGTGATGGGGCTTATTCTTAAAAGGAAAATAGCTTATTCTTGCTCACTGTTCAAGGTACAGTTTGTCATGGTGGTGAAGTCAGGGCCAAAGGAGCTTGAAGCAGGTGGACGCTTTGCATTCACAGTCAAGAAGCAGAGAGCAATGGTGACATGATGGTCCTCAACTCACTTTCTCCACTTTATACAGTCCAGGATCCCCTGCCCAGGGAATGGCTATGCCCACCATTAAGATGAGTCTTCCCACATTAAATATGTAACTAAGATAATCAACCTCACACATGCCCAGAGGCCCATCTCCTGGGTGAGTCTAGATTCTGTCAAGGTGGCAACACAAACCATCACAAAGAGTATCTTTTATCCCCCCAAGACAGGTTTCTCTGTGTAGTCCTTGCAGTCCTGGAATTCACTCTGTATATCAGGCTGGTCTTGAACTCAGACATTTTCCTGTGTTTGCCTTCCAAGTGCTGGGGTTAAAGGTATGTACCACCACTCCCCGGCAGACACACACATTTTTACTTTTTTGAGATAAAGTTCCATTCTGCATTCCTGACTGGCCTGAAACTTGAAATATAGTCTAGGCTGGCCTTGAACTCAGAGTTCCACCTGCCTTTGCCTTCTGAGTGCTTGGATTAGAAGCCACCACTCCTGACAGACACATGTTTTTCTTGAGGGAAACATGATAAGAAGTTAACAATATAGGGCAGTAGATATAGCTCCATGGTAGAGAACTTGCCTAATATACACAATGATCTGGGTTGATTCCCGACACTGCAAAAGTAAATATTTAAAGTGCTATTAGAGGCACAAGAGTCAATGATTAAACATGCAGGATTTGGGCACACCTGGACACACTTATTTTGTGGTTTTGGGCATATCTACAGACCTTGACTTCCTGTAACATGAATGGAGGGATGGGCAAGTGATAACGTACAGAAGACACCTGGCACACAGAGGTGTTCCATACCTGGTGGGTCATCATGCAGGACATACTTGTAGGATGAACATGTATTGGGGGGAGGAGAGAGCAGTGCATCTCTTGGAGATTTTCCTCTTCAGTCCCTAGTGGCCAAGTACACTGGCTGGTTGGAGGTAGTAGTCATGTTGCTGGGACAGTGGAGCTACTGGTGGCCTGTAGACTGGGCATGTGTCTCCAGGACAGGAGTAGAGAAAGCCTGGTCATCTTTCTAGTACCCTCCATGAGAAATGCCACCCAGCTGGTCCATTACCCCATCACCTTCGAGCTCCACCAAGCCCCACGTGGGACAGGGAATCTATTCATGAACTGGGCGGTGATGCCCCTTTTACTGCTCTCAATGGGCTGTGCCAGAGTTAGTGTTGCTTGTTCCTAGCAGGGCTGCTGTTTCTAGCTGTGATCCAGGGAAGCTATAGCAACACTAGGGGATGAAGCTGCGGCTGCGGCCCAGCCTGGACTGGGAACTAGGGACTTATTCTGAAGATCACTCCAAAAGTGCTGCACCTTATGTCCACACAGTTTCCTGTCAGCCCAGGGACACAGCCAAGTGGTCTGCACCTGTTCATGTGTTCACAGATGCCTTCATTCAAAACACAGACTTCAGGCAGTGGATCCAGGTGTATCTGAGGCCTGAGGTTTGAGCCCCAGCACTACAAAATGCAGAATTCATTTGACTTACATGGAAGGCTCTAAATGAGATCCTACAGAGACTTGCAGCCTAGTAGGAGGAACAAGACACACCCTGATTCACCAGAAGTGACCAGTGCAGTGAACAATCAGCTATGCTATGTAGGCTATGAACACAGATCCTAACAGCAGTGGGGAAATCTGCAATGGCTTCCTAGAAGACTTGGCTTGTGTTCATTTGATAGCATTTCTGGCAGCTCTCTACTTGCCACAGGCCTTGAGCCACAAGGTCCCCACTTGTGTAAGGTAGAGAGGCAGACAGTGAACCAGCCAATGAAAGCACAGAGGGACACTTTGCAGAGGTGGGTGAGTACAGAGAAGGATGGATGTGTAAAGCTCGGTCCTTGCAGAGGAGGAGGGTGGGCATTCCAGAATGTAGAGAGGGCACAGGTCTTGAAGATGCTGGGGGGTGAGAGCTGGAGAGAAGGCTCAGAGGGGAAGCAGGCTAGGAGGCAGACTGGACATGAGCTAAGGAGCAAGTATGTGTCCTTGGGTAGCAGGGAGCAGAGGCAGGTAACTGTTCAGGGAGGCAGTGGATTGGTGCTTGAAGACCCCAGTTAGGATGTAACAGTGTAGCATCATTTAAGGTGGGGAAAGCAGAGTGACATGGATGGGGAAACAGAGAGAGGAGAGAGAGAGAGAGAGAGAGAGAGAGAGAGAGAGAGAGAGAGAGAGAGAGAGAGAGAGAGAGAGACTGAGAGTGAGAATGTGACAGTCATGGCAGAGATGGGGATGAGGGAAGGGGAGAGAAAGACATCTACGGATGGGCGCTTAGCAACAGGCTACTCATCAGTGACACTGCCGACTCAGTTGTTCCCAGGATGGATATGCAACAAAGGAATGGGAGGCAGGTACTTCTCAGAAGGTGTGTCTCTGTCTCTGTCTGTCTGTCTCTCTCGTGTGTGTGTGTGTGTGTGTGTGTGTGTGTGTGTGTGTGTGTAGCATTCCTTGATGGGCAGCATCCCTGTACTCCATTGTCTTTGTGCCTAAAATAAGCCGCCTTTTTGGTAGGGTTGCCAGATTCAGACTACAAGGGCAGGATTATCAGTTAATTTTAGATTTCAGGAAAACAACAACAAAATGAATGGGATTTTAAAGTGTAAGTATGTTCCATACAAAGCATGGGACACGCCTGGACTATTATTTGTTGTTTGCCTGAAATTTGTATTTAATGCTGTTTTATATTGTCGTTCTATTCTAGCAGCAACCTATATGAAGAAGTTGCCAGCCATGTTCTGAGAAACCATAGTTCCTGTGGCATGCCTATGTGTATGGCAGAGCCAGAAGACCTGTATATCAGTTTTTAAAAATAGAAACAAATAAGCAAACCAATTAGAATGAGTCAAGTTTGAAGCTGTCTTGTCAGAATGGACTGAGTCACTTTCCCCATGGTGACTTGACAGGCAGGGGGTGGACTGCTGATTGGACAGTGTGTCTACTTACAGCAAGGAGACTGTGGCATCCCTAGGTGGCAGGCTCTCTTTTTCCCAAGGTCAGTGGGAGTCATATATCAGGGTTGAGTCTGATGTAATCTCAAAACATAGCTGTGCTCACATTTAGAAGCAAGAGGGCTCGCAATGGGAACAAATGTCTGATGTCCCCTCTCTGCTATTTGTCCAGTGCCTGTGAATGGAAACATTTGTGAACACAAGAATGCTACGGCTGTATAGGAACTCACATGGGGTCTTCAGTGTCAAGTTGTCTGTTATTTGTCCTGAAAGGAAGCAGGGTCCCTCTGGGATGTCAGAATGTGTCAAGATGTTCACCAGAGAAGATTGAGAGTATATTAATGCGCCCTCTGCTTGGGTCCCTGTGAGTTATGCAGGGAAGATAGCTTCTCAAGGCTTTGAAGAAACCTGCTGGGTACTTTGTCTCTAGGGAGAGGTAAAAAAACACCAGCCTAATAACAGATCTTCTGGGTTTTGGACCTTGTATAGACTGGGAATTCCTGGCGGTGGGTGATGAGGGTGCCCACCTCCTGGACTTAAGGGATCTAGAGGGGCATTGTGGGGAAGTAGACCCATGCTTCATAGATACCCAGTCCCTGGGGAAGGCCTCCCAGCTATAGAGAAAGGGCCCTTGGTGTCTCCAAGCCTGGATCCAGAAAGCATCTTCAATAAACCAAACAGATTTTTTTCTCCCTGTCTGATACTCACTGTTGCCTGGCACCCAAACCTGCTTAGAGCCAGTTGTGGGGAGGTTCAAGGTGGAATCAGACTGGACCGGGCCGTTCAGGTTTCTTTTAGGAAGGTGTGATGATCTCACTCCTTGACATTCTAAGCCGGGCTCTGGGTGGGTAATGACCAGTTTTCTCTGGGTAGGAAGTGGGAGGGGAAGAATCGGGACTTCACAGCAGGACTTGGGTGTGCGTCTCCTGACTCCACTCAGTTGCTTGATGACTTTAGGATGAGCACTCAATATCAGCATGCCTCAGTTTCTTGGTAACAATGAGGGGGCAGAAGGAGACCATATAGGGAGGGGTGTGGCTGGTTAAAGTACTGACACATATGTCAAGAACACTACTTGAGCCAGGAGCTGTGTGGAGAACTTCGACTGTGAGAACTTATTCAGGCTGGATGACCCCCCTTCTGTAGATAAGGCACCTAAAAGAGATGCTCCTCTTACTTTTTATTTTACTATTTGTTTTTCATACTTAATTTTTTCATACAATGTATTCTGATCATAGTTTTCCCTCCTCCAACTCCTCCCAGATCCTTCCCAACTCCCCACACACCCAACTCCTTTTCCTTTCCCTTTCTCTTTAGAACACAAACAAGTAAACAGAAAATCAGTATTTAAAAAAAATCCTACAAGAAACACACACACACACACACACACACACACACAGAAACACAAAATCAGAAACCATAATATACAAGCAAAAGACCAGTAAGACAAAAAAAAAAATTCAAGCAAAGCAATATGAGACAAAAATACCATTGAGCTAGTTTTGTGTTAGTCATCTACTGCTGTGCATGAGGCCTACTCTTAAGTGTGGCTAAGTCTCCAG